AACACTGTTCCATGGCTTTGGGCTACCCTAGGAGGGGTACACTGGCTCATTGGCTGATGGGGTATATGAAAGATCTGGGGGGAGTTGCCCTTCCCCAGGGTTGGGGAGCCAAAATGGCTTGAGGCCCCAGACACTATTCCATGCTCTGACAGCTGCCCCATCCTTAGGATACCATGAGAGCTATCTGTGCGGTATGGCAGAGAGAGTGCTAGATTTGGAGTCCAGGAAGACTGGTATTCAAATTCTATCCCAGACATATACTAAACTGTAGGATCATGGATAAGTCATTTAAATTCTCTTAACCTCAATCTCCTCATCTATATAATTAGGGGCATAGTAATGCCTGCAGGACCTATTGTTCCTCATAGGGTTGTTGTGGGCACTAAATGAGATTTTTTAATATGTATATGTATATACACATATACATACATATATGTGTGTATGTGTATATATGTACATATATGCATATGTGTGTATACATACATATATGGTGCTTTGCAAAATTTAAAGTCTTATATAAATGGCAGTTCATTATTATTATTACTAGTAGTAGTAGTAGTAGTAGTATAGTAGTAGTAGTAGTAGTAGTAGTAGTAGTAATTATTGTCATTGTCGTCATAGCCATAGTTGTAATATTTGTTGCTGTTGTTTGGATTAATGGCATATCCCCCTGTTACACTATGAGTTCCTAATTAAACTTCCTAGGTCACCTCATGCTTAGGACAGTGACAGTATTTACTAAATAATGTTGAATGATTGAATGAATGAATGAATGAATGAATGAATGAATGAATGAATGAATGAATGAATGAAAGGCCTGGAACTAGGATCTCTGATCCATGTTCTGGCAGTAGTTGCCCACGGGGTAATGTCTGCTAGACTCTCTGGAAGGGCAGACTGGAAAATGTTTTCTAAAGAGACATGGCTTCTGACCCTCTGTCTCAGCTGCCAAGATCTGCAGTTGGGTAGATGAGGGTATCATGGAACATCTGGCGCTAGGGGCTTTGGGGCATCAGACAATGAAGGGCTCTGGGGGTAGGCACCCAATGTATCCTAGAAATGTTCAGTGAGTGGGTGGGGTGGGACAGGGAGAGCTCTACGTCAGAATTATGCCTTCCTTGTAAGCCCTACCAGGCTTGAAGAGTGAAGGTCTTCTCACAGCCTATACTTACTATGGATTCCCACCATTGCTCCTCGGTCTCTTTTCTTTAACATAGGTAGGTAACAGCATGATACGTGGAAGAGGCAGTGAGTTTAGAGGCACAAGACTTGGGTTTGAATCATGATTTTGCTACTAACTCCCTTGGTAATAACCTTGCTCAAGTTGTTTTCTTTATCTAGGCCTCAGTTTCCTCATCTGTAAAATGTGGGTATGATCTCTAAGGTTCCTCCCCGCTGTAGATTCTCTGATCCTATTAACTGGTGATTGATTCACATAATAAACATTTATTAAGTGGCAACTGTGTTCAGCATCCTGTGCTCATCACTGGGGGAGATGGAGTTGAATAAATGTTTGATGACTGATGAGATAAACTAAAGATTCTGCCCTCATGGAACTTACAGTCTAATGGGGGATGCACTATACATACATAAAAATACAATCCACAATATTTCATGTAGATTATATCAGAGAGGTACAAAGTGCTCTGAGAGAGAGAAATTGGGAGGCAGAGGAGGTTGTTACCAACCAGCCTGATCAGGGAAGCTTTCCTGGAGGGCTGGCATTTGGTCAGGGAAGGGAGGGCATGCAAGGCACAGGAAATGTGATGAGCAAAGGCACATAGGTGAGAGAACAGGCATGTTCATGAGGGCAGAAAGTAAAAGGGGAGTCACATGGAAGAAGACTGGAAAGATGGGCTGGTGCCAGACAAGAAAGGAGGCCTTGAATGCCAGGGTAATAATTTGACCCTGACTCAGCACGGAATATTGAGTAAGGTTCTGGAAGTCAGGAAGAGCTAGGTTCTGCTTCTGCTTCTGATATTTACTAAGTGGTTCGGCCACAGATCTGTCACTTATGCTTTCTGAGCCTCAATCTCCTCATCCTTAAAATGCAGTGGGGTTGGACTCTCTGGCTCTGAGAATTAAATTGATGGTCCTATCTCCTTTCTCTGGGCCTCAGTTTTCTCATCTGTAAAATAGTGTCTAAGGTTCCTTTGAGCTCCAGATCTATAAACCTATATCCCCTCTGGGCCTCAGTTTCCTTATCTTTAAAATGAGGCAGGATTGGAACTAGATAGCTTTTCAAGTCCCTTTTCCAGGTGCAGATATGTGATACTATGATTCTATGATCAGAGAGGAATAGGGAGCCATTGAAGGCTTTTGAGGAGAGGGGTGATGTGGTCAGATATACTTACTGCACGGATTTGGAATTAGTCAGTAAGGGGTATAAAGGGCATATTGGAGAGGGTCCAGAGGGGAGGCGGGCATTCTCCCTACTGCAACAGTCCAAGCCACCCTCCCCTTTCCCCGCTCATCTCCCTTTTAGGGTGACGTTCTTGAGAAGGATGTGCTCCTGATGGCAGAGAGCAGGAGTTAATTTCTTCCAGCCCTCTGGCCATGTGCTAATGAGATGCCAGCACAGCATGTGTTATCCGAGTGGCTTTTTACGCACCATGGAAACTCGCAGCTGAGTGATTCAGCACAAGGAGATTTCCACTAGCTACCGTGTATCACCCTGGGTCCAGCTTCCTAATCCCTCTTGGTCGGGAAGCTCCCCGAGGGCAAGGAGCCAGTCTGTTTAGGTAGGTCTGAGGCAGTACGCTGTGAAGGAGAGAGACAGAAGATGGGCTGACAGCCCCACTCTGACACCGGCTGCATAAGCTGAAGCAAAGTCACAACCCTCTGAGTCTGTTTTTCCATCTCTAAAGTGGAGATGATTATGCTTGCATTTTGCAAGTAACCAGGCTGTTGTGAGAACAGCACCCTGTGAATGCTGTAGTTCTACAGGAACAGAGAGCCAGTGTTTGTTCTGTGTGGCTCCCAGTGTGGTCTGATACACCAAAAGGCTGCATAGACTAAGAGTAGACATGCTAGTCTTGTCCCAACTAAAAGCCCACCTCCTGCAGGAAGGCTTCCCCAACCCTTCTTAGTTCCAGTGCCCTCCTTCTGTTAATTATTTCCCATTTGTTCCGTTTGTAACTTGCTTTGTAGATATTTGTTAGCATGTTGTCTCCTCCACTTGACTGTAAGCTCCTTGAGGGCAGGGCCAGTCTTTTGCCTCTTTGTAACGCCAGCACTTGGCAAGGTGCTGACATATAGTAAGCACTTTAATGATGTTTTACTAATGGATTGATTGAATTCCCCCCAGTGCCTAGTTTAGGGTATGCCTAGCTTGCCTTCAGGGAACTCCTAAACCATTTATAGTTTAGAGGCAGGATAACTTGGGATCAAATCCTGCTCCTTCATTTATTGCCTGTGTATCCTTGCTGAAGGGCATCTATGTGGCACAATGGATAGAGAACTGGGCCTGGAATCAGGGAGACCTTAATTCAAATCCAGCCTCAGACACTTACTAGCTGTGTGACCCTGGGCAAGTCATTTAATCGCTGTCTGCCTCAGTTTCCTCAACTGTAAAATGAGCTGGAGAAAGAAATGGCAAACCACTCCCGTATCTTTGCCAATAAAACCCCAAATTGAGTCACAAAGAGTCAGATGTGATTAAAACAACCAAATAACAACAACAAATATTCCTCAAGCAAATCTCTGGGTCTCAGCAACTAAATCATAGCTGGGTAATGAAATGCACAGGTCGAGAGGGTTCTTATACTGGGGGTTCATGGTGATGAAGAAATGCTTTGATTACCCGTGTAAAGATGAGGAGATTGAGGCTCAGCTTGATTAAGTGACTTACCTAGGGTCACACAGCTATATGTGTTAGAGGCGACATTCGAACTCAGGGCTCCTTGATTTAAGGCCCAGAGCTTTTCCCATTGTACCATGATACCTTAACTGTGAGATGAGAGACTTAGGTGAAGAGATCTCTAAAGTCTATTCCAGGTCTGACATGACATTGAGCTTATGAATAATGTGGCAATTTGCGGGCAGCCAACAAGCCTCGGGGAATAGGAAATACATTGGAATTGAAATAAGAATTAGACCTGAATCTCAGCTCTTTGTGATCTTAGAAAGTCAGTTAACCTATCTGGGCCTCAGTTTCCCTATCTGTAGAAAGGAAAGGTTAGAATGGAATATAAATGTTGCCCAATTACAAAAACAAGCTTGGATCTTAAGAAAAGATAATCTCAGACATCCCTCCTCAACCCTTTGCAAAGATGGTGCTGGTGGGGTCCATGGGTACAGAACATGGCACACAGCATAAGATTTTTCAACATGTTGATTATTTTCAATGATTTTTTTTTCTTTTCTTTTCTTTTCTTTTCTTTTCTTTTCTTTTCTTTTCTTTTCTTTTCTTTTCTTTTCTTTTTTTTTTGTGTGTATGTGTATGTATATGATGGTTCTTTTGAAGGAGAGGGGGAGGAGCCCAGGGAGAAATTTAGGAAATGTAAAAACAAAAGATATCAATAAAATTTTATTTTAAAAATTGAGAGGGATGGACTTCTTGACTTCCAAAATCCCTTCTAGCTCTAAATCCTAGAAATGTATGATTCTGCAAATCTCATAGTGATTGATTTAAGCTATTCTCAGTCATTGATACTTTAGTATATATGTGTTTTCTGGATTTGATTTCAATTGGCAGGAGAAGGGTGAGATCTTGAGACCACTGGGTAAGTGAGGAGGTTCCAAGGGTGGTGAAAGAGATGCAGGGATGGATTGTTAAGTACAGTCAAGATCAGCTTTGCTTCCAGGCAAACAGCAGGCCCTCAGGCACAATTCTTGGAGACAAAGTGGTCTCCAAGGTTGGTCCCTAGAAGGCATGAAGACTGGGTGTTGTACAGCCCAAGGAAAGCGAATGAGTATTAGATCAGGCCTTGGTGTTCCCCTCCCACAGCCTTTAGCAGCAGCACAAACCCTCAGTGTGCTCTGGGCTGGGGATTGCTTACCCTGTACCAGACGATCTCTCGCATCCGGCCATCCGTCTTAAAGTTACATTTCAATGTCACAGCATCTCCAACCACTACTGGTGGAAGCGGCTCGATGCTGACAGTCAGGTAGCCTGTAATGGGACAAGAGAGAGAGAAGGGAGGGGGTGAGTGAGGATAAGATGGCGCAAGGACAGTCTGAGGGGGGATGTGCAGCCACTGCCCTCAAGGGGCTTCCAGTCTGCCATGAAGTATCACCATACACCAGAGCACTCAAAGAAAACACATCAGTACAGAAAAAAGGTGGAATAGCTGAGCTAGAATCAGGGTGGGAGAGAGAAGCAGGGCCTGGCAGTATAGCTGATCACCCTCCCTTTCTCGTAGCTATGTTATTCTATCCCTCCACCCTGGGCTTCAGCAAGTCATCAGTTTCACAATTTTATCATTCATTCATTCATTCATTCATTCAATGAAGTTTTGTTAATGAGCTAGGCACTTCATGTATCACTGTGGGGCATTCAAAGATATGTGGTTCCTAACCTCAGAGAGCTAGCCTTCTCTTAGAGAAGAGAGAAGTCACGTAGACAAATAGGATACAAATTAGAATAAGGTTGGTGCACAAAACCAGTTCAAAGTGCTATGAGATCAGGAAAAGGAGAGAGATCAGTACCAGCATGGGCAGCATAGAAAACCTCATGGAACAGGTGGCATTGAGCCTTGAAGGATGGGCAAAATGTCAACAGGCATAGGGTACAGAGTGAGCCAAAGTGGAAAAGCTTGGGAGCATTTGGGGGACACCATGTAGCGCAGTTTATCTGGAATATAAAATACATGAAGAAGAAGAATAATAGATAATGCATGAAGACTAGGTTAGACCTAGATCATAGAGGGCCTTGAATCGTGGGCTAAGAAGAAAGGGAAGAAACAAGCATTAATTAATATAATAAACTAATATAAGCCTACCATGTCCCAAGTACTGTGCTAAGTGCTTTACTGATATTTTCTCATTTGGTCTTCACAACAACCCCAGGAAGGAGATGCTATAGTTATAATAATAATATTAATAATAATAATAATAATAATAATAATAATAATAATAATAATAATAATTGTTATCATCTTAATTTTACAGATGATCAGACTAAGACAGAAAGAGGTTCAATGACTTGTTCAGGCTGGCACAACTGGTTTAGTGTCTGAGTCCACATTTGGACTCAGATCCTCCTGATTCCAGGCCCAGTGCTTTCTCTACTATACCACATGTGGTTGTTCAGTCATTTTTTAGTCATGTCTGCCTCTTTATGACCCCATTTGGGGTTTTCTTGGCAGAGATACTGGAAGGGTTTGCCATTTCCTCCTCCAGATCATTTGACAGATGAGGAAACTGAGGCAAGCAGGATGAAGTGACTTGCCCAGAGTCACATAGCTAATGAATGTCTGAGGCTAGATTTGAACTTAAGTCTTCCTGACTCTAGGCCTGGCTCCATATCCACTGTGCCACCCCACTGCCTGAGTGTACATTTTTAAGTGTACCGTATTGCTTTCCAAGAAGCAGGTGTGGTAGTGGATAGAATACTAGATTTGGAGTTAGGAAGACCTAGGTTTGAATTCTATATCAGACACTTACTAGCTATGAGGCCTTGGGCAAGTCATTTTCCTATGGAATTACCTCCCATTTACCCTGTATAAATCTTTTTTGTACAGTTATTTACATGCTCACTCCCCCACTGGAATGTGAGCTCTCTGAGGGCAGGGACAGTGTTTTCACCCTTCTTTTCTATCCCCAGCAATTAGCACAATGACTTGCACATAATAACCTTTAATAAAAATGCTTACTGACTTCACTTGAGTAAACTGAGATCAGGAGAAGTTAAGAGAATCCCAGAGGGGCAGCTAGGTGGCACAGCGGACAGAACACTGGCCTTGGAATCAGGAGGACCTGAGTTCAAATCTGGCCTCAGACACTTACTAGCTGGAGACCTTAGGCAAGTCACTTCACCCCAATTGCCTCAAAAAAAAAAGAGGATCCCAGAGCTAGAATACATTTAAGTCAGGCTCTGAACCCAAGTTTTCCTGATTCTGAGACCAGTACGTTAGCCACCAGACTACAGTGCTTCTCCTCTCCTCTCTGGACCTCAGTTTCCTCCTGCATAAGTTGAGAGGGTTGGATTAGATTTTCTCTAAAGCTCTTACTAGTTCTAACATGCTGGATTCAGAAAAACGTAGTGTATTTTGAGTATCTGGTGGCTGAGGCAATCTGGAAGAAAGGCCTCCTTTGGTCGGGCCAGACTTAACAAACTCGAGAGCCCAGGATAGGTCAATGGCACCATATCAAAGGGTCAAGGTCTTGGCCCTACTTTGCCAGTCATCTTGCTTCTCTGGGTCTTGGTTCGCTCCTCTGTAAAATGAGTCGAATTTAATTATCGCTAAGGGGCCCGTCTACTTCTAACATTCTGTGGATGTTAATTATGAAATATCCTTCTTATATCTAGTTATATATTCCGACAGCTGGCCAATGGATTGTTCTCCTGGGTCTGGGCATCTGGGAGCATGATGGAGTAGGAAAGAGTTCGGGACTTACATGAAGAAAACCAGGGTCTGAGCTCTCATTCTGCAGCTTTCTGGCTATGTGATTATGGACGAGTCACTTAATGCCTGGGTGCTGCCCTGAGCTGGAAGGAGGGTGTAGGGATATCTCTCTACCAAGCGCTGATCTGATTAGCTCCTCAATCTTTAGTCCTTGGCTCTTACCGTTGGACTCTTTAGCAGCTTCGTGCTGGTTCCTTCTCCTCCTCCACCTTCCTTTTTCTCTTTCTCATTATGATGCCTTTAAAGATATAGGAAAAAAATACCTGCTGTCCACTATTCTCAGTAAGCCCCAGATTAGCCAGGGAGGTCACCTCCTCTTCCTGAAGGAGGGGAGGAAGGACAAGTACACCAGCAGCCTGGCTTGCTTTGACATAAATCAACGGAGGTGGATGCAGATGGTGAGATCGTGTTCTCTCTCCGGGACTTGGAGAGGCAGACTGGGGGTGGAGACGGGAAAGGCAGCTTGCAATGTCAACACTTGTTAGTGGTCATGGAGTCACAGGTGTGCTTCTGGTGGAAGGAGAGAGTGCTGGCAGCCCCATTTGTTGTGACTGCTAATGATAGTACCCAGTTATCACAAACTCAGAAGGTGTGAGCATTCAGGGCTAGGCTTCATGGAGGTATTCCAGAGGCATCCAGAGCTTTAGGAGAGCCAAACCCAGAGGAAAAGAAACCAGATACGCTCACACCCAGTAAGTTGGCAAATATGGCTAAACACGGGTTTAGTCAATGTTGGAGAGGTTGTGGAAAGCCAGGCCCACTAATATGCTGTTGGTGGAGCTGTGAGTTGGCCCAACCATTCTGGAGAGCAATTTGGAGTTGTGTAGAGAAAATGACTACAATGTCCATACCCTTTGATCCAGAGATCCCTCTGCTAGGTATATGTGTATATATGTATGCATGTATGTATATGTATGTATGTATATATATATATATGTATATGCATGTGTATACATATATGCACACACATACATACATATACACACACATATATATTAATGATGTCAAAGACAGAAAGACCCTAAATATTCCAAAATAGTCATTGTAGCAGAAAACTTGAAACAAAATAGTGTCCACTGTTCAAGAATGGCCAAAGACATTGTAATCTATGAATATAGTAGGAAACAACTATGCCATAAGAAATGATGAAGATGAAGAATTCAGAGAAGCTTAGGAAGATTTCAATGAACTGATTCAAGGTGAAGTAATTTGAATCAGGAGAACAATATACACAATGGTCTCAATAATATAAATGAAACCCCCACCCCCAAACTGATTGTTCTCTAGTTATAAAGACCAATCTTGATCCCCAAAAGAACAGATGAGAAAATGGATCTCTTTCCCTTCCTTGCAGATGTAGGAAACCTACATGCATGGAACACTGCATATACTTTCAGACTTAGTAAGTGTATTTGTTAGTTTTGCTGAACTATGGTCTTTTTTTTTCTTCTCCTTTTTCTTCTTTACTCAAAAGGTAGGACAGATGAGAAGGATGTATTCAGAAATAAATGCAATGTGAAAACAAAGCTATCATTGGTTTTTTAATTAAAAGAAAAAGGAAATCAGCCCTTGGGCTACTAGGAGAACCCTATTTAGAAGCTAGGTGGAAAGAGAGCATGGTATAGGAGGAAGAGAAACAAATTCAGAGACATAGCATCTAAGAACAAGGTAGCTATGCTACTTATGACCTGAGGGAATTTAGGCACTTGTTATCTGGGCTTCAGATTCTTTGTCTGTGAAATAAGTGAATTGAACCAAGTTACCTAATCTAAGATCCTTTCTTGTCCCTCCCCCCATCTTTAGTCAATCCTCCATTTCCCATGAGCTCCATCTTCTCTTGGTTCCTTCTCCATCTGTCAGAGACCATACACATCTCTCCCTTTAATTACCCCAACCCCATCTGTAAATCACGTCCCTCTAGGGACCAATCTATCCCATTCCTTGGAGCCCATACCAGATACTGCCTGGAGAGAGTTCTTCATCTCTGGAGGTCTTCCAGAGCAGGGTTGAGGACCACTTTTGGGGGCTTCTGTACATTAGATTCTCCTGCAGATAAGAGTGCTGGGTTAGATGCCCTCTGATTTCTGAAGCCCAGCCCTCCAACTTACTGTATAACCTGAGAAAGGTCACTTCCCTTCCCTGGGTCTCGGCTTCCTCGTCTGTTCAGTGAGGAGGCTGGAATAGATGATTCCTAAAGTCCCTATGGTCCTGTAATCTGGGAACATGCTGAGTCCAGGTCTAAATGCTTATTGACAATTTCCAGCCCTGAGATTCTGTGAAATTATGTTTACAGAGTGCTCTGCAAATCACAAAACACTATATGAGGTCAAATATTATAGAGATTTTATATACACACACACACACACAGACATATATACATGCAGTGTATACAAATACACATTTTAACTGACTTCTGATTTCATTATAAAGGGAGGCTTGATGAGAAAATTCCCTCAACCAGTGAAACCTGTTCTGTAGCTTATGGTCTTACACAATTGCTTGGGCACACTGAGAAATTAAATGCCTTGTCCAAAGGTACACAGAT